CGGGCGCGGTGGCTCAAGCCTGTAATCCCAGCACTTTGGGAGGCCGAGGCGGGTGGATCACGAGGTCGAGAGTTCGAGACCATCCTGGTCGACATGGTGAAACCCCGTCTCTACTAAAAATACAAAAAATTAGCTGGGCATGGTGGCTCGTGCCTGTAATCCCAGCTACTCAGGAGGCTGAGGCAGGAGAATTGCCTGAACCCAGGAGGCAGAGGTTGCGGTGAGCCGAGATCACGCCATTGCACTCCAGCCTGGGTAACAAGAGCGAAACTCCGTCTCAAAAAAAAAAAAAAAAAAAAAAAAAAAAAAAATATACCAGGGAATTTCAGAAGATCCTATAATGTGTATTTCTTTACTATTTACTGTAGCTTTAGATTCACAAAGATGACAAAATTAGTCCTTAGAAAAGGGAAAATTTGGTACCTGATGCATGGTAAACTGTTTTGGGGATCTAAATGGAGAGCATATGCTACTAGCACATACCACCACCAAACAACAGTGGAAGGAGAGATCTGTCTGGAAGTCAATGTAGAACTGCCGCATGGGGTGGGCAAAGGACAGTACATATATCTTGTGAGCCTGTGGAAGGGATTGAACACAAACACATATAAAGTGCCTAGGACAGTACCTAGCACCTAATCCTTATATAACAAATGTTATTTATTTATTCGCACAGAAATGGATACAACAGGTGGGATGTTAAGTGTCCAAGTCAAGGTGGGGTATGGGACAGTGAGAAATTACTTACCAGGAATTTCCTCTTTAGAAAACTGATGCTCCCTATCTCTGATTTCACCAAGCCTCTGGTTAAAGCACTCTGTTTCTGTTATAACCGTAGGCTTCAGGCATGTGCCCACTGAGGCCACACTCTACAGGGCCTTGCAGAAGATGGTAAGGTGTGCTATCTCTCATGGCCATTGTCCTTGGCCATTTCATGAAGGCTATGTCCTTCATGAAAGAGATCAGCTTTAGTCCCAGATAGCCTGACTAAAAGGAAAGAGGAAAGAAGACAGCTTTCCCTAGAGGTTTTTTTCTGCTTATGGTCAGCCACCCAAGAGGGCCAAGAGTCAGAAAATCATGTCCCTTGCAGGGTTATCAAAGTCAAGTTAGTGGCAAGCAAAGCAGGGAGATTAAAAGTATAATGTGAGATAAAACTGGGACACACGGAAATCCTAAAAAACACACCTCTCCCAATCACCTCCTGCTGTCCACATCCCAAAGATGAAAGCTACCCTAGCTGCAAAGAAAAATATTACATCCACCAGAAGGTAATCTAGGGACAAGAAACCTTTAAATTCCTCTCACTCTAGCAGAGTAATGCATTCACCCCGAGTTGCTGATGTGAAGGTTGTAAAAAAAATTTTACATGCTTACCATATAATTAATATGTAGATGCTTACCATATAATTAATATGTAGATGAGAAAACTTAGGCACAGAACGATTAAGTGAAGTGCTCAAGGACTCACAGCTAATAAATTATGAAGCCAAGATTCAGAGTTAGGCAGCCTGACTTTAGAGATCATCCCCTTAAACACTTTGCTATCTTGCCTCTCAATTTAGAATGCAGAAGAAGTATAGTTTAATATCCTTGGTTGTATGGAAAAGAAAAAAAAGCTCCCAAAGTAGACGATGTAAGTAGTTAGTAAAAGATCTGGTACATAGAACCCAAGGGTTGTGAGGACAGGGGAAAACATTTATGGTGGAAGAGAAGAAATGTCTCTCAAAGCCAATCAAACACTCCAAAATTATATACCCCTACATTAAAATAAGGAGTTCAAGAGTGAAAATAATGTGCTAATAATTCGAAATACTATTTAAAATATATAAGCAATTCATCTTTACTAAATGTCAAGTATAAGGTATTTATCCAATGACAATGTAACACAAAAATTGGGGGATTTGTTTTCACATTAGTAAACAGGTTCAATAAGAGATAAGTTGACCTTTATCTTAAAGTATAAAAATTAACTACATGTTTTGTGGTGTTTGCAACCTTTGTAGAAGCAAAGTGCTCCTTAATTTTCAAGTTTCTCTTCCTGAAAAGATTAGGTGAAAATATCATAGCATTTATCAAAAACAAGAAGAAAATGAGTAAGGTTTTATATATTAGAATAGACAATGTAAACAAAAAAAAGCCAATAAAAAATAATTTAGGTTACCTTGAATGTCTAGATAGGCTCTCAACTCATAATAAAAACTTTAAGTGAAATCCTACTTATAAAAAATAAAGGCCTTAAAGATATCAGAGTGAATTCATACAGTTATGAGAGATATTTAAGCCAAGAATTAAAGTGAAACTTAAATCTGCTTTCCTCTACATCCTATTTGGTTTTAGAAGTTAAGAAGAAATGCTTTAAACACAAAACCATGATGTTCTTTTGTATATTTAGGCTACAAAGCTTCCTTTTTTTTTTTTTCTTTCAGGACTACAGGCAGTTATTTATTCACAGGAATGGTATAAATTGGTTGAATAATCTCCTTTATATTTTTGAAATTATTTATACTTTGGATAACTGATACAGCCCAATGTGAAGTCATCCTCATCACAACAAATCCCCTATCAATGGTTCATTTCCTGAATTGTAATTCTTCTCTTCTGCTATTCTACTGAAAGAGATGAAGATAACATTACTACTATACAGGGAGATATAAACAAATTTGGGCCTATAGCTACTTAGAAAGCAGGCTTTAGAGCGTATAAGAATAAGGGAGAAAATAAATGTACATTTATGGTCTTCAAGTGGCATGAAGTATGTTACAAACTAAATTGTTTTTTAGTGCAGGTGTTCAATGAACTCATTTTAAAAACACAAAATAATATTAGCTACAATGCTATAAAGCTTCTTAAGTATTGTTCTAAGAGACTACATCAAATTTTCCCAAATAGGCCCTAAAGCCTTTTTCAGGGAAAACAAAAATCATTAGAAAATTATTGCAATTGTGTATATGCAGTGTTAGTGCTACTTTTCTGACATTACACATTTACATTCATACAAATGAAACCAAAGTTTCATGAAACAATACTTAGTATAGGCCATGTTCTCTGATACTTCTTCTATTTTCTTAAAAAAATTTTTGATGGCAACTTATCATATTGATTACTCGACCCATCAGTGGTTCTATAGTGGACCAGACAATACAAACATGAAGTGCTTATGAGTTCCTGTGAGAAATCTACCCCAAAACATTGCTTGTTATTTCAGTGTTGCTTTAAGAAGAAAAAGAAAGAAGGAAGCGTGAAACAAGCCTGTCTCTGCTGAGGTATCAGAATCAGAAGTGGATGTTGCCACTGCTTATTTGTGTTTTGCCACAGGAGGCGTAATAAAAGGGGTCAGACACCAACCCACTTTGAAGCAGTCCCCTGGTTGTGTTCATAAAATTTGGTGGGGGTTACAGGTAATCCCTCTGTGTCTTCCCCAGAGAAAAATGGGAGTTCATAACTACTCAGACTGGCAGGAACCAAATTCCCCTGTAGAGGGCTCAGGCCAGGTGGGCAAAAGCTGACCATGGCTGGCACTGTCCTGTTCACATATAGGCCCTGGGAGGCTGTCCCACCCACTTCCCCTGCACTGTGTCCTCACACTTCCATCTCATGGCTTATTACTAGAAAAAAGCTGAAAAGCAAGCTAATAGTCTTTTAAGACACAAGAACTGGTTTAATCTTTAATTTTTTTCCAAGTAAAAGAAACATCTGCATACCCCATTCCTTTCTTCAGACAAAATCTTCAATAAATCCCAATATATACGACAGAGCTGTTGCTGTGCTGAGGAGAAGTGCTGCCGAGAGTCCTGCCCAGTCCTCCTCCCTCCTTATCGGTCAGCCCGTCAGGCTCCCCCATGGAATCCTAGTCCTCTAGAAATGCAGCAATACGGTAATAGCTAAGCATATTTAATGATCCTCGCCAAAGGCAATCAAACTAGTGCCATATTTGCTCTCTCTCTAATCTTTGCTTGCTCATCAGATCTATAAATCCCACCCTAATAAAGAACTCCTTAAAACTTCAGCAAGTGATGCTTCACCAAGAACCTACATAAAGCAACATTTTTTAAACTGTCACTCTACATTTGGCTCTTTTTCTTCTATCAAACTGATATACTGTCAGAAATAGAGTATCAGCCAAACCAGTTGGGTCCTTACTCCTCATTGCCTGTATTGTAATAGCTCTTGTTATTACGAAGCACCAGTGAATCCAGCCAACCAAACTCTTCTGATAGCCATTCCAACAGAAAGTATGATTCCAAGAAGATGACTGGACTATCACAAGATTTATGTTACTACGGAAGTATGAAAACATGTTTCGATACAGCTGAAGCTGAATTATTTCTTCTTTTCTTTTACAAAGAAATGTTGGAATTGCTTAGATTCATCAAATCTAGCATCACCTAGGGGAGAAGGGGCTGCTTTCTCAGCCCACTTTATTAGTCTGGATAGGATAAGGCACAGCCAAGGGAATAAGATACGTGAAGATGTAGTGCTGCTGTTACTACACTCACCCGGTAATATGATGCTTCCTGTGATAAAGATTAAACAAACCATCTTTTTCTTTCAAGAGACTGTCTTGTATCTTTATAAATATGTGTGCTTTCTGAGAAAGTGAAACCTTTAAAAAGGCTGAAATTAAATAATTTATCATGCTGAATGGGGGAAAAATCTGTTTCTAGTAAAACAGAACTGAGATGAACTAAAAGAGTACAGAAGTAGAGATTAATTCCTTAAAAGAGTTATTTGGATGTAGCACATAATGACAATAATAGGCAGAAAAGTTAAGATTTGGATAGATCTATTTATATCCTATCATTGGGTCTTGCGTTAAAAATTGTAACTTTAAAGCTTCTTCCTGTAAGGAAATTTCCACTCCCCCAATACATTTACTTATTACATTATTTCAATTATTTAAAAAACTCAACTCTAGCTGTCCACCATTTTTTTTTTTTTGCATAGTTAATACTTTTGACGTTACTTTCAAAACGATGTCTGGTAATGAAAAAAAATAGTACCTTTTCCAATTCTCTTGGTATTCGCAAACAAGTGTATACTCTTTCTCTTCTTTCTGTATACTTGGCCTCATTATGTTCAAGGAAGTACCCTCTTGTTAGTTCAGCACTGAGGAACCTCAATAATGAAAGCTCTACAGAAAAAGAAAATGACAGAAAACAAAAAGAACAGTATTTATCAAGGAACTTACACACTCACTAGGGCCATAGGTAATATACATTCAAAACAAAAAGACCAAAATAAATGTAATCTATAATTCTATGCCTAGAACTGAACAACTACACACAATGATCAGCAAGCATTTTTGAGAAAAGTATTTTTCTGTGTGGTATAAACTGAAAATGCCACAGGAATATGGAAGGGAATGATTACTAAGGGCTAGAATAGTCAGAAAAGTATTTTTCAAGAGCTCAGTCTTGAGTCTTACAAGTGATACAGGACCTGGACTGGCAGAGATGAGGGATGGAAAATCAGTAGTTATCAAAAATATATAAAATAGAGCGATATATAGAGTCAAAAGGGAGCCAAGTCACCCAACTGGCACTGCTTTAGTCCAACAACCATTGTGGGCGAATTACGTGGATATTGGTACCCCAGCTCCCTTCTTAGTTCAGCCTCAGAGATTCTGCACAAATGTCTAAATAATGCCAAACGAAGACTTATCAACATGATACTAATAATAGTTTCACAAAGTGGAATCTCAATTAGATCAGAAAAACCTCCCTTTCCTTGGATCTTTCCATTCACCCATGTCTTTCCCTTGTTTCTCTAAAGCAAATTACACTGTAATCATCTCATCTCAGATGAGAAAATCAAGGTCAAAGGAAGTTAAATACCATCCACTCACTACAATTGGCAGCTTGAGGTGAGAAGCTAAGGCTCTGGATGTTCCACACCACCTCTTCTCAGTGCATTACACTTCCCTAATGGCCCATCCCCTCAATGACCCTCAGCACCCCTTACTTCATTTACACCTTCCTACTTTTACTCTGCAGGAGGTAAAGTCTATTCCAGAATGCAGGTTACCAAAAGGTTTCCAACTGTCCACTGTTCTCTTTGCTCTGAGCTGGCCTTGTGGTCCTTTTTACCAAATATGGTATTAATGTTCCCTCCAAAAAATGACAAAGGAGGAAGGTTGATTTCATTTATGTGGATCTATTTAAGGAGTTACCCCTTCTGAGTGCTATGATCTAAAGCTTATACGTGAGGTGGAAAGAATTTATAGTAAAAAATATCCTTGGCAGGGTGTGATGGCTCATGCCTGTAATCCCAGCACTTTGGGAGGCCAAGGTGGGCAAATCACAAGATCAGAAGTTAAGATCAGCCTGGCCTACATAGTGAAATCCTGTCTCTACTAAAAATACAAAAAACATTAGCTGGGCATGGTGGTGGACGCCTGTAGTCCCAGTTACTTGGGAGGCTGAGGCAGGAGAATCACTTGAACTCAGGAAGCAGAGGTTGCAGTGAGCTGAAATTGCGCCACTGAAGTACAGCCTGGGGGACACAGTGAGAATGTTAAAAAAAAAAAAAAAAAAAAGAAAAAGAAAATCTTAAAAGCCCTTAGAAAGACTTAGAAGCCAACTTGATTATGGCTCTGAACAACAGGTCTGCAACAGCTTACCTCCTCCAGCACTTAAACAGATGCCTAATTCTTTGGGTACTATGTCAAGTGGCTTGCTTATGTTAGGGTTTATTCCATATTCATGTGTGCATACTCTCTCTCTCTCTCTCTCTCTCTCTCTCTCTCTCTCTCTCTCCTTCAAATACCAGCTTCATAATCTGTTTGGGGAGCCAGTGTTACCATGAGAGATATCTGGAGCTGAAACAGCAGGAGAGAAAAGCAGACTTCTTTCTATCTGTGTCAGCCTCAGGCATAGGAAGTGGAATCTATCTATGTGTTGTACTTTCTCTCTTCAGTACATTTACAGTTGAAGTCATGTGGGTCACATGTAGGCAACATGTGAAATCTACCGTATATATTAACAGACATTTGGATTTAAAGGATTTAGTCATCAAATCCATGTAGAGTAGAACTTCTGGTTAGCAACTTTCTAACATGTTCTATGCTGGCTAGAACCAGAACGAGATCTGTTCTTTCAAGAGGAGAAAAAAACAAGCCTTTTGAGTTGCAAACAAAAGCAGCCAAGACTAATGAAAGATTAAAAAAATCATACTCAGTTCAGTCAGTTTTCCAATTAGGAAGAAAAGTATGTTTCAATTTGTTGGTATCTACAAATACCAGTTCTTTCATGTAAAAATTGAAAAGCACAGGACTTTCAGAAGCAGAGGAGATTCTACATACATAATTTTTTACTGACCTTAGTGAACTCGAATTTTGAACTCCCAAGGTCACTTCACCACACTCTCCAGACAGCAGCCAACCCTGCAGCTTTCCCATCCCTCCCTCCCACCCAAACCTGATTCACTGCTGCTCTTCTCTCTTGAATGGCTAATTTTTCCCATCTAAGTCTCTTTGGTAGCTCTTCCACCTCTACCTGATTCTGAAGTGTTTGCTGGTTCAGTGCTCTATTCACTATAGTAAAATGTCAGCCCTCCTCTAATGCTGGTATTCTCTAATATGTCCTCATCATTTTTTCTAGTATTTATGTCCTATACATACTTTGTTTCCTATATATTCCTAACTAAAATTAAAATCACATCAAAATCCTAAAGTCATCACATCTTCAGCTCTGGCTCATATTTCCAACAGCCTCCTCTATCTGGATATCTCATAGACACTAAATCACCTACAAAATGAAAGCAGTATTTTGCCCACTGATTCTGCACCTCTCCTGAAGTCCAGACTTTAGCTCCTGGCTTAACCAGTGACACACAATTGCACTAGAAGCCCAGGGCCCCAATCTTGACAATCTCCTCACTCTAACACTAACTTCTTCCCCTTTTTCCTATATTCCACCCTAGTTTAATCCTCCCTACCTCTCTCAAGGTTATTGCAAAAGCTTCTTGACTAAGCACCATTTTTCCCATCTTTCCTCCCTTCAATGCTAACTCAACCTGGCAGCTAGTCAGCACCTCACACAGATCAGATATGGCTCTGAAACCTTTCAGTGGTTCTTCGTTACCTACAGAATAAAGTCCTATCTCCTCAGTGCAGGCCATCCTAGAGCCTTTACAACTGGCGACAAATCATCTATTTAGTCATGCTTCACGCCTGACTCGTCTGAATCTATAGGTCACAATTTTCTGCTTATCATATTTTTCATTTCTCCCAAACATGTCAATGGATTCACACTGGTCCGAGAATTCTCTATCAGTTTTCTAGGAGTGATCATGCCCAGACGTTACCTTCTCTGTGAAGACTTCCCTAAGTTTCTCAGGCAGAGTCTGTTCTTTCCCCTGCTTGGCTTCCACAGTACCTGCACTTGCCTGTGATTTTCCACAGCTTACTACATTCATTTTCTTGTCTGGTTTTGTCATTTACCTTTGCATCACTAGGACCCAGCACATAACAGGTACTCAGCAAATGTTTGCTAAAACGATATATGGGTCAGAGAAGAAGAAAAATCACAGAGAACAAAAACCATCAGACAGTGAAAATCTAAAAACGAAATAGAAAGGGAAGTGACTAAGAAAAGAAAGAATTACAGACATAAAATGAAGTGGCCAAATTAGTCTCTTTAGGCAGCAAAGAACAGAACTGACACAGAATTGAGGAAGCGATGCAATCGGCCAAATGGGCTACATTTTCATGTGGGTGATTTGTCCCTTCTGATATAATTTCTGGAATTTTCCCATTTTTCTTTATCACTAAATTTCTCTACTGAAAGATGATCTATATGAATACAAAAGTGGAATTAGTCAAAATGTTCAATAGTAATAGAATTGCTTAATAAATAACAATGTACCAATATTAAAAAAAAATCAGAAGTGGCAAAAGAAGAGCATACCAGATACTTGAGAAAAGAACTTGGGATTATGACAGAATTGTTCTGAGACTCAGGGAGTTAGCAGGGAAGGAGTGAAAAGCTTCACTCAATGTAGCAGCTATTGAGGATACAGGAGCCTCTACACTGTATGTGTAGCTAAGTGACTATAAAGGTAACCCAACAGGTACCTGAACTTCATCCCCCTGAGGAAACAAGGTACCATGATGCAGTCACAGCCAGTGAGTGCCCTGGCTTCAGGAATGAGGAGACCCTCACTGTCAACACTAAGTTCAAGGAAAAAAGGCAGCCCACAAGAATGCCATTTGGGTTAAAGAGATCAGAAACACATTACTGCACAATCATTTAAAATTTTTAAAAGCAAATTAAATAAAAAGGTTTATTTGGGGCCAGGAGTGGTGGCTCATGCCTGTAATCATAGCACTTTGGGAGGCCAAGGAGAGCAGATCACCTGAGGTCAGGAGTTTGAAACCAGCCTGCCCAAAACAGTGCAACCCCATCTCCACTAAAAATACAGAGGCAGGAAAATCGCTTGAACCCAGAAGGCAGAGGTTGCAGTGAGCTGAGATCACCCCAGTGTACTTCAGCTTGGACAAAAAGAGCAAAATTCTGTCTCAAAAAAAAAAAAAAAAAAAAAAGGTTTATTTATATTCTCCACAATGGAGTCTTCTCTGGTGACTGCAGATAGATGACAGCTTTGACCATAATGCGAGCTTGTGTTGTGACCTACAGAAGAGCATGGGACTAGCAATCAGAAGAAGGGAGTCCTGGTACTAACCCTCCACACATTAGTCCTGGGACCCTGGTGCAGTCACAGATGTCAATTTTACCGAAGAGAAAATGGAAGCTTAGAGCAGTTTTTTAATACCTGCCAACTGTTTGCCTTATCCACAGAATCATCAAAGGACTAAGAGAGTATTTGTATGAAAGTATATAAAATCTGCAAAGCATGACGCAGTGTCTTGAACTACTTCCTATTAACCTCACAAGTACTGTAGTATTACATTCCGGTTTGGTGATTATCTTCTTGTTCTATGGTTAAAAGGTAATAATAACAAATAAGTATATTTAATAAACTATATCACCTAAGTAATTTTCTGTAAACAGGTTGTCATACAATGTAAACACATGAGTGTTTTAATTACAAGTACAAAACAATGCTGTGTCAGGATTCTACCTCTAGATATACGAGAATTTTAATTATAAATACTAGTTTAGATTCTACAAT